TCCAGCCACTAGAAGCAAAGAAAGAAGAAATAAATGAACTAGAAAACAGAAAAGCAATAGAAAGAATGAACAAGACAAGCTGGTTCTTTGAAAAGATTAATCAAATTGACAAATCATTATCAAATCTAACAAAAGAAAAGTTGGGGAGAAGATGCAAATAACATGATAAGTAACAATATGGGTGATGTCACAACAGAACCACAAAGGAAAACCAATAAGTTTTAAGGTCTTATTTCTCAGCAGAAACCATGAAGGCATTGGGAAGGCATAACATTGTGAAAGAAAAAACTGCCAACCAAGAATCATATATCCAGCAAAACCATCTCTCAAATACAATGGCAAAATTAGAACATTTCCAGATAAACAAAAATTAAAGGAATTTTTTAAAACCAAGCCAACTGTGTAAGAAATACTAAAGGGAGTCCTTTGGACTGAGAACCAACAACAGCAGACAACAACCGAAGATTGACACTACATGGCAACACCACCTAGAATTCAATCCAGATAAAGAAGTAAAACAAAACAAGACTGAAGATAGGGAATTAGAGATGTCAATCTATAACGAAGACAACTACAGAGCAAGAAGAGGGGAAAACAGAGTTACAGAATGCCAAATGGTGAAGAAGTCAAGTAGATTTTAAGATAAAACAGACTATTTTAAATTGGAGAAGAAATTAATAAATTACAGGATAACTTCAAAGAAACAATACATCTTCACATCAAGAGAAAGAAAATCCATGAAGAGTTTGTAAACATTAAAACTAAGAAGAAACTGACAAGAAAACGCACACACACACAAATGAACTTAGCATAGGAAAACATGTGGAACAAAGAAGCCAGTAGCATGACACAGACACAAAAAAATAGCATACTGACTGTAATCAGTTCACACCTATTGATAATTATGTTGAACTTCTATGGATTAAATGCACCAATCCAGCAACAAAGAATTGCAGATTTGATAACAGGATCTTGCTGTCTACAAGAGACACACCTTACAAACAAAGACAAATAGATGAA